GTGTGTGTGTGTGTGTGTGTGTGTGTGTGTGTGTGTGTGTTGTAAGAAGGTGAGGTAACAGCAGGGGGGGAGGAGAGAAGGATGGGGGGATGAATGATGGAGGAGGGGTAGTGCTACGTAAAACCCGCAGACACACACACACACGCACACGCAATCGACGTCTGGCGCATCGCTTATCCAAACAGATGGTTCCTCGGTGAGTGAACAGCTCGGCTCGCTCTTCTCCTCGGTGGCACATGTGTTTTGTTTGTTTGTTGGGATGAAATCGATGCAGCTGCCACGCGAAAAGGATAAGTGCACATTCTCGTTGTCTCCTTTCGCTTTGGCCCAAGTACCACCACACCGCTCACCACAAGACCGCGTGACATGGATGCTACAACACACACATACACACACCACACACCACACACCACACACCACACACACACACACACACACACACACACACACACACACACACACACACACACACACACACACACACACACACACACACACACACACACACAACGCTGGGTGATTGCTGACCTGCGCCGGTGCAGAATGCCCAGAACTCCGCGGGACCAACGCGGTGATAGACAGAGAGGCCGATGGTGTACATGGCAATCCCATTGAACACTGGTGATGGTGGTGGTGCACGATGTGTTGTGTGTGGTGGAAGTTGTATGGTGTATGGTGGAAGGGGAGGGATGGTAGTGGTAGCATTAGTTTTGAGTGGTCGATGCGTGTGAACAAAGTGATGCTGTGTGGTGAGTTGGCAGTGCCACAACACACGTACGGAGGTGGGGGATGGACGCGTGGCTCAGCGTCGACGTGAACATGGTGCGTATGGAGCCTGAAGGTGATGACAGCAAAGGAAAGCAGCCGTTGAGACAAACGAGACGTTGCTGATTGTTGTGGTATATGCACGTGCAGTCAGTCACACACACACACACACACAGACAACCACACAGACACACACACACACACACAGAGACACACAGACACAAACACACACATACACAAACACACACACAGACACACAGACAACCACAGACACACAGACACAAACACACACGCCAACCTTTGATGGGCGAGTGGACAAAGTTGCGCATCATAAAGTGGTGGAAGCGAGGCAGCTGCCACGCCAGGAACACCATGCCGCACACGCCAAGGAACACTGCGGCAGCAGGAGGAGGGGAGCACGGCGGACATGTGTCATGTGGCGGCAATGAGCACTCAAGCGCGGCCTTGGCGCAGTCGCAACCATTGTCATCACCACAGAACAGTGCACGCATCGTAAAGACGTGAACATGCGCCGACCAAACATGTGCATCATGACATGTGCGCCTCACCGTAGATATCAAACTCCCCCGGTTTGAGCAGCCCGTGGCGCACAGCAAAGAACTGCAGCGGGCAAGCAGTCGTGGCGGTGGTGGTGGTGATGGTGGTGATTGCGCGGTGCATGGTGCATGAGGTTCGAAGCTGAACCATGCACTGTACGTGCACAACGACGTGTGCAGGTACAAACGGTTGCAGGCCCACTTCACGCACAGACACAGACACATACATACTGACCGCTTGGTGCGCTGTGACGTTGGCACCGTGGTCGACGAGCTTGAGGATGTAATCAGCAGTGACCTTGTTGGCGATGTGTTGATAGATATGCCAGTCCTTCTCATAATACGCAGCCCCTACAAAGCCAGCAGCAGTGATCTGTGTGGGCAGGTGTGATGAGGGGAGGGGGTGGTGAAGGTGCAGGCGAGTTGGTGGGGAGGAAGTAGTGGCAACAAAGACACACACATGTACAATCATGTACACAGACAGACACACACATTCACACAGACAGACAGACAGACAGACAGACACACACACACGCACAGACACACACACACACACACACACACACACACACACACACACACACACACACACACACACACACACACACACACACACACACACACACACACACACACACACACACACACACACACACACACACACACACACACACACACACACACACACACACGTGTCCCCAGCTCCTCTGCTCTGTGCAACCCTACCTGGCTGAGCGAGCCATGTGTCGCAGGGCGCTTGGGGCTGCCGTGCTTCGTGCCCAGCAGCGCTGGACTGCCTGTCGCGCAACACGAAACGTCAGCATTGTTGCTTGTTGCAGGAGGAAGTCGTGAACTGTGGAAGTGTGTGTGCACTTTTGCCAAAACCAAACAACTCGCTTTGCGGACAAGGACGAAGGGGATGAAGATGATGAACAACGCTCCTTCTTGCTTAGCAGCAGCAGTGGTGGTGGTGCTGCTGGTCATGCTCGTGGTGAACGAGCAGAAGAGCTGCCTGGGGAAGTCAGTCGTGGGAGAGGACGGCACGGGCGCCTTCCACATCAACACGAGCGATCCGACGAGCCAGCCTGTGTTCGTGAACGGCGTGAGCGTGGATGGCTTGTTTCAGACGATGGACACCTTGCTGAGTACAGTAGCGGCGCAGCAAAGCACGATCGAAG